TAGGATATGTATTTTTTTTTTTTTATTCCAATCCATTCTTCTTTGGCAGCATTTAAATAACCTTTATCAGATTTGATGGTTTTGTTACAGACTTTTCAAAAAAGTGTTTTGCTTTTCTTTCACAAATGTGGGATTAAATTGTGTTAAAATGTACAAAACAGTGATGTCATGTTTTGTGACGAGGACCCAGGCACAGAGAGACTTGATGAATTTAAGAATCTTATGATTTAATAAAGAAATTTGCAGACTTGCACAGAGATGGTAAAATTATGATGACTGATAACGGAGACGAAGACAACAGACGATGAGGACAGGGAGGAACAGGGGTTTAAATGCACCAAAGTGACAGTCAGAGAGAACTCGGGACAACATTTAAGGATGCAGGGACTGACAGAGACAGGTTTATCTTGCCTGGCTGGGCACTCTCTGGGTGGTTTACAGTTGTGCCATACTCCTTCCATTTCTGAATGATCGCTTGAACAGTGCTCCGTGGGATGTTCAAGGCTTGGGAAATCTTTTTGTAGCCTAAGCCTGCTTTAAATTTCTCAATAACTTTATCCCTGACCTGTCTGGTGTGTTCTTTGTGTGTGTGTGTGTGTGAGTGTGTGTGTGTCAGTGTGTGCGTGTGTGTGTGTGTGTGTGTCTGGTGTGTTCTTTGGACTTCATGGTGTTGTTGCTCCCAATATTCTCTTAGACAACCTCTGAGGCCGTCACAGAGCAGCTGTATTTGTACTGACATTAGATTACACACAGGTGCACTCTATTTAGTCATTAGCACTCATCAGGCAATGTCTATGGGCAACTGACTGCACTCAGACCAAAGGGGGCTGAATAATTACGCACACCCCACTTTTCAGTTATTTATTTGTAAAAAATGTTTGGAATCATGTATGATTTTCGTTCCACTTCTCACGTGTACACCACTTTGTTTGGTCTTTCAGTGGAATTCCAATAAAATTGATTCATGTTTGTGGCTGTAATGTGACAAAATGTGGAAAAGTTCAAGGGGGCCGAATACTTTTGCAAGCCACTGTAGTGTACTATGTTATGACTAATGCTCATAATGTTTCAAGCCAGGAAATGACACGTGAGACCTCTCAAAAGCAGTTACGTCAAACAAACGTACCCTAAAGCAGATGACTCGTAATCTGGAGAGGAAATGGCGTGTCACAAATTTAGAGGATCATCATTTAGCCTGGAGAAATAGTTTGCTGCTTTATAAGAAAGCCCTCCGCAAAGCCAGAACATCTTACTATTCATCACTGATTGAAGAAAATAAGAACAACCCCAGGTTTCTCTTCAGCACTGTAGCCAGGCTGACAAAAAGTCAGAGCTCTTTTGAGCCAACCATCCCTTTAACGTTAACTAGTAATGACTTCATGAACTTCTTCACAAATAAAATTTTTATCATTAGAGAAAAAATTACCAATAATCATCCCACAGATGTAATATTATCTACAGCTACTCTTAGTACCATTGATGTTAAGTTAGACTCTTTTTCTCCAATTGATTTTCTGTGTATAGGATAAAGGTCTAATCATCTCTTAGTTTACTCAGATTGCACAGAGTGTATATTTGTTAATAATTTGAATCATTTTGGATAAGGATAAGTGTAAGATAATGGGGAATTTCAGTTTTTACTTTATAATTTGTTTAGCGTAAGATTTACAGTTAAATTGTATTTTTTCTTGCCTTATTTAATTTTTACGTACTGTTCCTTTAACACACGGTAACTGTGCACGGGGGGAGGGTTCGCGACAGGCAGTGTGGAGCAACGGGGGCTTTAACTAGCTGTGGAGAAAAACAGTTTCTTACCGTGTTTGCAGTGTACTGGAACATTCAAATGGATCACTGTATTTCAAAACTGTGGAAATAAATGTTTGCCTGTTTGTTTTTCGACTACAAGCGGACTTTGTGGATTATGTTCAACTGCACTAAGACACGCGTACGGCCCGACTACCAGCTAGTGCTTCCGCGGTAATATTCGTAAGAAACTGTCTCCTCGCGGCCGCAGTCTTCGGATTGGAAATGTAACTGCAACACATGGACATGAAATACGAGGAGAGGATTCACCAGTCAGCCCTTCAGCACAGAAAGTAAGTGCAGTTACTCATGGACACGGAGGAGATTGGGGAGTATATTAGCAACACAGTGTTATGCTAATTAGCAGCGAACGACCCGCTAACGACTAGCTAACTACACGTGAATAGCTACCCTTTGTGTGTTTCCTGAGGCTATTGGGGCGGTTAGCTGTATTGAGCTCCCAGCTAAGTGGAACAAACTAATGGGAGAATCATGGAAGATGATAAAGATTCAGCAACAGTGGAAAAGCGGAAGGTGAAGCCTACAGCTAAGGCGATGGAGGATGCATTACAAAGGAAAATAGGCTCAAGAAAGGCTAAGCTGGGTCAGCTAACAGAGAAAAAGAATGAGATGCTGCAGTTAATGGAGGATGATGGCAATGTGGAAATAGTTAAAACCAAGTTGTCTACAGAATTTAATCACATCTTTGGAGAGTTTTGTGAACTGAATACATCTGTAAAGGGGCTATTTCAGCAAGCTGTGTCAAGAGAGGACATGGATAATGATCAGCAGCATTGGTTTGAGCCCAAAGCAGATGCAATGAGAAGCTTTGTTGACAACGTGGATGCTTGGATAAAGGAAGTCCATCAACGTACGAAGGAAGCAAAAATGGCTGATGAGAGTGTTCAGCCCACTGACAGCATATCAGTAGCAGCATCTAGGAAGTCTAGAATGTCCAAAAGCAGCACTGGCCAATCTTCAGCATCTTCAGCTCGCTTGAAGGCAGAATTGGAGAAGGCTACACTCTTGGCACAGGCAGCAGCTTTAAAGGAACAGCGAGCTTTGGAGGAGCAAGAAGCTAAACTTAAGGCTGAGAAGGAAGAGCTTGAATTACGAACTGCTTTAGCAGCAACTGATGCTAAACTTAAGATTTTGCAGAGGTTTGAGGGATCAGATGTGTCACATAGGGATGACAAATTATCTTTCGTCCAAATGCAGCCAGCTAGGGTACAGACTGATCATCACAGAGTGACTATTGAGGATTGTGGTGGTGAGCAAAACAGGATGCCCATCATCCAGCCTCAATCAGCTAACACTGTACAGGTCAATCAGCCAGTTATCAGAAAGAACAGCCATTGTTTTTCAGGCAACAGTTCTGCTCACTCAGCGGGCGTGGAAGCTTCACAGACGTTGATAGCTGTCATGCAAAGACAGAACGACATTGCAGAAGTCCTTGCAACGCAACAAAGACTTTCTACTCTACCTCCTCAGAACATTTCCATCTTTAGTGGGGATCCATTGGAATATAGACTGTTTATCAGAGCCTTTGAGCATGGAGTGGAGTGTAAAACAGAAAGCAGAAAGGATCGTCTTTGCTTCTTGGAGCAATACACTTCTGGACAGCCAAGGGAGCTAATACGCAGTTGTCTGCACATGGATCCAGAAAAGGGCTACTGTGAAGCAAAAAGGCTCCTGAAAGAGCACTTTGGCAACGAATACAGGATTTCTGTGGCATACATAAACAAGGCTCTAGGCTGGCCTCCAATAAAGGCAGAAGATAGTGAAGCCCTCAGCGCATTGGCACTATTCCTCACCAGCTGTAGGAATGCAATGTCAGACATGGAGTACATGGAGGAGTTGGATAATGTTGCCAACATGCGTGCCATTGTGAATAAGCTACCGTACAACCTCAGGGGAAGGTGGAGGAGTGTCGCCTTTGAAATAGAGGAGACAGAAGCTCGGCGGCCTAAGTTTATGGACCTTGTCAAGTTTTACAGTTTTTGCCCGTTGCTTGAACACTATAAACCCATGCTTAGACTAAAGTAACACAACTTGAAGCTTTTGTTACCATACCTCAAACACATGTACCCATACCTTAAACAAAAGCGCTGCTTTGCACCCTAGTTGCAATTATGCAACACACTTACTCCTTTATGCAACACACATGGTCCTGCATACTACACTCCATTTCATACATAAGACACTTTGTTCACAAAATGAAATTTCAGGGTGCCATTTGGAAAACACATGTATCCAAAATACAAAACACATCGGGTAATTGCAACCACTCAAATACACACCTGAAGGACCTTACTTGCAAAACTGAACACCAATTAGCCAACTACAAAAAGCCCTCAGTTTAGCCAATTCAAGAACTTTGCAAGCATGGATGGAGGAAGAGCAAGAGGAAGAGGAGGAGGTCGAAGAGGAGGTCGAAGAGGCCATGCACAGACCCATATTTCTGATGATATAAGAGCAACTTTGGTGTCATCAACCAGGGCCTGACTATGAGGGAAGCTGGGCAGAGAGTCCACCCACATCTAAGCCGCTTCACAGTGGCATCTGTAATAAGAACATTCCGACTAGAAAACAGGTCTGTCTTCACCTCTCTACCTTCTACTCTACTCTACAGTATATCACATTACCATATCAAGTGTACAGGGTATTGCAGGGTGCTAATGCTCCTTTTGCAGCCAAAGTGGTAGTTTCTGTGAAACATACCATGATTACTTATATTGAAGTACAGTGTTGTACAGTGGATGATACAGTATATACAGTAAAGTACTGTAAGAAAAATAAGCAAAGCGATGACAATATGTGGTTGTATTCCTCTAGAATGACTCGAAGACCTTCTGGGGGAGGACGCCAACGCCTGTTCACACAACAGCAGGAACTTGCTGTTGAGGACCTAGTGAGGGCAGACAATGCCATCCGTCTCCACCAGCTACGAAAGCAAATACTTGCAGACAGGCAAGTGTTCAACAACATAAACCATGTGAGCATCACCACCACCACTGCATTTCGTTGCCCTGTACCTGTGCATGTGCAATGACAGTAAAGTTGAATTCTATTCTATTCTATCACACGCATCTTGAGAAAACACAGCATCACCATGAAGCAGCTCTACAGAGTCCCATTTGAGAGGAACAGTGACAGGGTCAAAGGACTTCGAGCTGAATATGTACGGGTAAGTGTAACTGTCCTTTACACTTACACCCCCGGAGAGCAGTCATTTCGGGGTAGTACCTTAGACCCCCGCGGAGTCATCATTTTGCGTTTCTACCTTTAAAAGCCGGAGAGCAGTCAAATGCTGGAAGTGGAAGCTAAATTGGCTAGTCATTCATATGTATATTGGGTCGTTACCTAGGAATTCTGGAGGGAGGGGATTGGGGGAGAAATCAACACACATGAGTCTAGGTCCTTTGTTGCTGACATTTGAGTGCAACACTGCAACCCGTCACCCCGTCGTTCAGTGGTCGTTGATCAGTGGTCCATTGTGGCACCATTCAGAGCACTGGTACAATAGTACCAGCAAGATATGGGAAGACATTGCAAATGTACTTGGATTTTAGGTTGCAAGCCACCCAAAACTTGATCCCAAACTTGTCAGGTTTACTTGCAAACACTTGGAGTGTTTCAGTATGCCATCTTAGGGAGAACTCAACACACATGTAGGTCCTTTGTTGCTGACATTTATTGATGAAAATAGAAAAAAAACCAACCGTTTGTACACATGTTTACAAATAATAACAAAAATTGAGTGAGTACATTACAACATTTTCAGCAATCACTCACAATCCTGGCACTGCCACGGTATCTGTCGTCTGCATTTACCACATGTGTACCTGTAGCAGTGAACATGATGGGAAAAGCTGTTCATCGCTTCCAAGACATCATGCAACACCTACGCTTTGATGACAAGTCCACCCGCTGTGATCGAGCAAAGACTGACAAGTTTGCTGCAATTTCCAGTGTGTGGGGATCATTTGTCACCAACTGCATCACGTGCTACAACCCTGGTCTACATATCACCATTGATGAACAGCTTTTCCCATCAAAGACTCGGTGCAGTTTCCTGCAGTATATTGCAAGTAAACCTGACAAGTTTGGGATCAAGTTTTGGGTGGCTTGCGACCTAAAATCCAAGTACATTTGCAATGTCTTCCCATATCTTGGCAAGGACCCCAATCGTCCCACTGGGGAGAGACTTTCTGAAAATGTCGTAATGAGGCTGATGGAACCATTCCTAGACAAGGGCAGAAATGTTACCACGGACAATTTTTTCACATCGCTTTCACTGGCACAAAAACTTCTTAGACGGAAAACCACCATCCTCGGCACAGTCAACAGGATTCGCAGGGAAATTCCTCAATCCACTAGACAGACAGATCGCAATGCATTCACCACTCAGGTATGTTGCAGGTCTTTTGTGGTTCTATGTTTATGTGTTTCATTGTGTGTAAAAGGGCTATGGAAATAACAATTTATCTTATTTCTTAGGTGTTTTCAACCTCTGCTGCCACGCTGACGGCGTATGCGGCCAAACGGAAGAAGACAGTCTATATTCTTAGCAGCATGCACAGCGTGGTTCAGACTGATAACACCACCAAAAGGAAGCCAAACACTGTCACCCTTTACAACAAAACAAAGTGTGGCGTGGATGTGATGGACCAGATGGTTCGGGAGTACACTGTCCGCAAGGAACACGGCGCTGGCCAGTCGCCGTGTTTTATAACATGATTGACATGGCAGCACTGAATGCACATGTGCTGTATCAAGCATGCACCGGGACGAAGGAAAGACGGGTGGACTTCCTGGTGGCGCTTGCAACAGAGTTGGCTCGCTCTCATGTAGCTGGGAAGAAGGCAAGAAAAGAACAGTTGCTTCGGAGACACAACCCTCCGACACATCTAGCCCTGGGAAAAGAGCCACGTGTCAGGTCAAACACAACTGCAAGAAACAATCATGCCACTGTGCGATGTGTTCACTGCAAAAGATACACATGTGGTAAATGCA